TCTCTCTCTCTCTCTCTCTCTCTCTCTCTCTCATTTTATCCCTTTTATTAAAGTGGAAAGTTTTTTTACTTAAATAATTGCCAGGTAACATAACATTTATATCCTTGGTAGAAATATTTTCAGTGTAAATGCTAGAAGAAATGCATTGAAGAATGAGTCCGTTTATTTAAATGCTCATATATTTTGTTAATGTTTGTAGTAATCTCCAAAAATTCCAGATTGTCCAAGTGTCCACTATATCTCTATGATTTTTGTAGATGGCAGTAAAGCTTTAGTTTGCATGCTCTCACTTGTTTTATTCTTTTTATTGTGTAGGTATTATAGAGCTGGTGCTAAAAGGTCGTTTTGTTGTTTTTTTTTAATCATTTAAATTTGAAGGAAAAAAACCCTGAAAGTCTAGTTTCTACTCTCCAAAAAATCATACCATCTAGTGCAGGGGATAAAGTATATCTACAAAATAGTTAAATAACAATATAAGGTAGTAAATTATTAAGACCACAAATAAATTGTTACCTGGCCACTTACTAGTTATTTAACAGCAAGATGCCTAATCTAGCCAAGCATCCATTAGTACCACAAAAATAAAATAAGAAAATGAAAGTTATAAAGTACTGACTGAATATGAATTTATTATAATTACTAATATTATTAATGCTTATGATGTAGTAGGAGAAAAAGGAACTTTGTTTAATACACATCTGAGCTTTTTCTGGGTGTTATTTCTTTCCTATTTATTCAAAACTTTGGGTGTTAGGCCTCTGAGTTACTTTTTAGTCCCTAATTTGTTCACATTTGTTCTCCCTGTTTTTCCTTTTGAAAGAATTTTTTGAAAGATTTTTTGCGTTTCAGAAACTGTTTTCCTTTCATTCTTGAATTTGCCACCACCTACTGTATCCTTGGTTTCTTGTACTCTAAGTCAAGCCAAAATGTAGGAATATAATTTTCCCCACTTTAATTTTGTTAGCTGTCTCCCCCAATGAGCACAGTTTGTCTATTTTTAAGGTTTATACAACTAATCACTAAGTGAAAGAGAGAAGATAATAAACATAGGAACTTAGCTTCTAAAATTCATAGGTTTCCAAAGGTATTCTGTGATATTTCTAATTTCCTTTTTCAGGAAACATGTGTCCTATTCTCTCATGTCATCTTTTAAATTTTTTTTTAGTTTACATCCGTCTCTTCTTCCATCCTTTTATGTTTTGTGTCAACAAAGGTAGACTTAACTTTCTTAAAAAGGAACTTAGATTTTCCTTTGTAATTCTTATTCTTCCTTTGTGACTGCAAAGCCCAGAACTCCACTTAAATTAACAACAAGAAAAACTTCACTGAAAAGGATTATGGAAACTACCTTAAGAGTTTAGATCTTTTCTTTGGCAACAGGTACATGTGTAATGTAAAAAGAGAAAATGAACTAACTATTAAAACTCCTGGGATACCATCTTTTATTCTTTTATAATTATTTCTATTTTTTGTAATCTAGATTTTAATGTTTTTAATTCTTTCATTTCCAAAGTTAATGAAAATGTTACTATTCATGTATAATTATTGCTAAGATTAGATAAAGTTCTAGAAGACCTTTCAGTTATTTATTAATTAAAGTCATTGTTCTTTAATAGCTATTCAGAAATGATATATTAAGGATTAAAGAAGCAGGAAGGAGCTATACAAGAATGGCCAGTATTGCTTCCTTATTAGGGAATATTTTTTCTGCTTTAATATATTCTACTTAAATAGTGTTTATTTTATTCTAATTCTTTGTTATACTTAAAGGGCCAGGAAGTAAACCTAAGTGGGGGAATGAATGGAATAACAAGAATATAGAAATCTTTTGAGGGCCTCTGTAACTCTCCAGAAATCTCTGAAATTTATATATAAATTCCCTTTTCATGAAATTCTAAAAAATTTAACACTGATAGGTCCTAGTTCTAGGTTCTTTAGCACTGTTGTATGAATTTACTTTGTTTGTTTAAATAGAGTTGTTAACTATATGTAAGAGATGGTTGTATTGTGGTTTTAATTATTTAAACTTCATGATCGAAATGTAATGATCATCAGTAACTTAAAAATAATGTTACTAATATTCTCATTATCTAATCATAAATTGTAATAATCATTAACAGATTGATCTCTACTTTCTGTTTTTGTAATTCATTTCACTCTTTTCCAGCTACTTTGACAAGCTATTCTGAAAACATGGAACGCACAAAATATGTGGGAGAAAGCAGTAAAGAATTAGGATCTGGAGGAAACCTAAAACCTTGGCAGACTCAAAAATCCAGCATGGACTCCTGTCTATATCGAGTAGATGAAAACATGACTGCTTCTACCTATAGTCTGAATAAGATCCCAGAGAGAAATTTGGAAACAGTTTTATCTCAGTCAGTGCAGTCTATTCCTTTGTATCTTATGCCACGGCCAAATTCAGTAGCAGGTAAGATGTTTTGTTTTGTTTTTGTTTTTAAATAACCATTTCACTGGAGAACATATAGAAGTGAAAATAAATTCTCTTCTAAAAACATTTAAATTTTCTATTAATCTTCATTAAACCATTCTTTATGCTTTGGTAATATAGGTACATGTGTATATTTTTTTGAACTTGGGGAAGATTCATCTTTCTCAAGTGATTGCTTAGTTCTGCTCCCGTAATATGCAAAAACACACATTATATCAGAAACAGCTTATCAAGTAATTCATCAAACTAATAAATTCTTTTTCTTACATCAGAATGAAAGAATTTTAGTTTGAGATTTTAGTTTGAGATTTTAGTTTTTGTTTGTTTTGTTTTGGTACTGGGAATTGAACCCAGGGTGTTTAACCACTGATCCATATCCCCAGCCCGTTTTATTTTTTTATTTTGAGACAGGATCTTGCTCAATTGCTCAGGGCCTCAATAAATTGCCTGGGCTGGCTTTGAACTTGCAATCATCCTGCCTCAGCCTCTCAAAGCGCTGGAAGGCGTTGTGATTACAGGCATGCCCCACGTGCCCATCTCAGTTAAGTTTTTGCATATCCACAGGAATAGTGATTGAATCAGATAATAGGTATTAAGGTATGCCAAACCACACAGCTCCTCAGGAAAAACCCTCAGAGCCCAACTGCCACCACCGGCTTCCCACAAGCCTCTCAACCTCCCCCACTCCTCCTGCTCTTGAGGACGATTGGCTGGGTCGTGTGGGCAGAGCCAAAAAAGTCCCCAATGAGCAGCTGCATGGTCTGAAAGGGCAGGGAAACAGCCCAGCGAGCATCACCGCAGAGGAGCCAATCAGTTGGTAGCTAGAAGTTGCTGGGGCCGCTGTGAGCCAATCATCAGCTGGCAGCTGGAATTTTGCTGGCAGCTGGAAGTTTGCTGGGGCCCCTTCGGCTGTGGCTCTCAACACTCTAGAAATACAGAGGAGGAAGCAGTGCACAGGGAAGTGAAATAGGAATAGAACACATCATAGGAAAGAACAATTAAGAGTTTACCCAGAAGACAAACAGGAAAGAGAAAGGAATTACAAAGAAGTTAAAGGACTTGGCACATTTTAAAATTTCTGCACGACTAGAAACTGGAGTACAAGAAGATGACATTGAAAGTCATACCAAATACCTTATATACTCTGATGATAAGAACTGGCATTTTTATCTTACTGATAATAGAGAATACTTGAAAGGGTTTAGGAGTAGCTGTATTACCAAATTTACAGATTAGAAAAATAACTGTAAATATCCATCTATATAGACTAAATTGAAGAAGGAAAGCCTGAAGTTAGGAATAATAGTGAAAATCTTCTTCTGTTTTGGAAAATTACAAGTAATGAATTACCTGATTGAAGGCTATGTTAATATGAGTAGAGAAAATAGCTTGAGAGAGTTTTTTATCTTAAAATGTAACATTTATTAGTTATTTTTTTAAATACAGAGAGGTCAAAGAAGAAGACAAAGCAAAAAAAAAATGAGCTTTAGTCTCTTTGCCCAGTGCTAGCCTTACATATTTTAGGAATTAAAGGTTTATATGTATTATAATTTTTATCTGATTTATATACTATATACTTCCAAAAATATGAAAGAAGAGGGAATAGCCACTCTTCTCTACCTCCTACCTCTCCACAAGAGTTAATATTTCTTATTCTTTAAAATATATGTGTGTGTGTGTGTGTGTGTGTGTGCATATCTATAATGATATAGGTACATTTGGTTTTAATATATGTAAGAGATGTGAGGTCAGAAAATCAACAGGATTTATATAAGAGAAATTAAAACATATAATCTAAAAAATATATACATAAATGAACATATCAGCTTTGTTTATAATAGCCTAAAACTGCAAACATCCCAAATGTTCATCAACAGGTAAGTGAATATACAAACTGCAGTGTGTATGTACAATAGAATACTACTCAGCAATAAAAGGAAAAAGAACTATTAGTACTGCAATAACACATACAAATCTCAATTATGCTGGGTGAAAGAAGGCATCTTTAAAAAATAGATACTGTGTTTAGTTTGTACTTTTTATGATTTTATATAATCTGTAGTCCTCTCTTCGGTTACAACCATCTGCGTGTACAGGTATCACCTAGCCATCTTCATGTTGGCCTGTGAAAGTTGGTGTTCAGGGAACTGGCATGAGTGTTGATCCTCTGGCTATCTCTAATTGCTAAGAGTTATAAACTGCCTTTCATCTCGGACTCAAAAATCTCATGTCTTCTTCTAGTGCCCCAGGTTTTTTAGTTTACAAGTAGGATGATATACGAGATCTTTCACAGTTCTTGACAATAAGATGCCACTCTACCAGACCCACAAAACTAAAAGAAATAATATTGACAGGGATATGGTGCAATTGAAACTGTGATGCATCAATAATGGGAGTATGTTAATAAATTGGTACTACCACTTTGAAAAGCTGTTTGGCAGGATCTGTTAAAGATATAACTGTATTATATTTTACCTAAAACCTAGCAATTCCACTCACATAGAATGCCCATGAAAAATAAATATGTTCAACAGAAGACAACTATAAGAATGTTTGTAATTATAATGCATTCTGCTGTAATTTATAACAAATTAAGATAAAAATAATAATGCATCTGGAGAGGATAAAAACAAAAAAAGAATGTATTTTCTTTATTCAAAATAACCTAAAAATCTAAAATCCACCCAAATATCTATCAATAGTAGGGTTGATGAATAAATTGTGTATAGCAGTGAAAAAGAATGTATTGCTGTTAATAGATAACATTGAAAATGAGAATTCAGATTTGAAAGAATATAAACTATATGAAATATTTACATTTATATAAAAATTAAGAAAAACAGTCACTACTATGATGATAGAATCAAAAGTAGCAGTTACCTTTGGTAGGACTATTGACTAAGGAAGCTTTTTATATCTTGATCCAAATGGTGGTCATGTGGTATGTACATATATAAAAAATAATTGAGTACACTTTATGTATATAAATCCTACTGCAACTCTAAAAACAGATAAAAATGTATTTTGCCTCTTGTCTTTCTGGAAGGATTTTTTTTCTTGACTTTGGTATAAAAATAAGTTATAGGAAACAAAACCTTTATCTGAAATACCTACTTTTAATGTTGCTTAAAGACAACCTAATTGTAAAAATTGGATAGTTTACTTAAGGTGTTCCATTTTACTGAGAGTATAAACTAAAGATCAGTATCCAAACCACCCAAAAACTATTATTGCCACCAGAAATGATCATATTGCCACCTTAATTCAGTGGTAGCCTAGCTCAAATCCTAAAGCAGTCTCTTTTTTAGATGGAGTTTTAAAAAATTTTTTAATAAGCATATTGAGCCATATTTTAATATTATAAAATTCAACCAAGTACACAATTCAGTAATGTTTAGTTAATTTACCAAATTGTGTAATCCTCATACAAATCAATTTTAGAACATTTTTTATCATGCCAATAAGATCCATTATGTCTATTTAATATTAATCCCATTCTCACCTCCAGTCCCAGGTAGCTAATAATCTATTTTCTGACTTTATAGATTTATATTTTCTAGACTTTTTAATTTAAATGGAGTCATACACTATGATTTCTGTCTGGTTTCTTTCACTTGCTGCTTTTAAGGTTAATCTGTGACAAAAAATATATCAGTAGTTTGTTGCTCTTTATATCAAGAGTCTTTCAAACATATGTGTCTGCTACATTTTGCCTATCCATTTACCAATTGAGAGACATTTAAGTTATTTCCAATTTGGGGCAATTATGAATAAGTGCTGTTACAAATATTTACATTAAGTCTGGATAGACATATTTTCATTTCCCTTAGATAAACACCTAGGAGTGGAATTGTTGTATGATATGGCAAATTTATTTTTAACTTTTTTTTAAAAATTGCCAAACTGTTTTTCAAAGTGATTATATAGTTCTGCATTTCTTTCAGCAATGTACAAGTTTTCCTGTTTGTTTCTCCATATTTCTTTCCCCACTTGTTATTGTTTTATCTTTAGTATTGTTTGTAGTTATTCTGATAGGTGTGAAATGCTGTTTAATTGTGATTTCAATTTGTATTTTGCTAATGCTTAATAATGTTGACCTATTTTGTGTATATATTAGCTATATACACATCTTCCTTAATGAAATTTCTGTTCAAATCTTTTTGTACATTTTCATTTTTGATTCTTACTGAGTTTTAAGAATGTGTTATATATTCTGGATACAATTTGTATCAGACATGTGTTTGCAAATATTTTCTCCCAATCTATTGCTTATCTTTTTATATTTTATTGGTATATTTTGAGTCACTAAAATTTCGAATTTTGGTGAGGTATATTTATCAAAATTTTTTTATGGACCATGCTTTTGGTATATTTTTTCCTTCTGATTTTAGTAGAAAGTACACTACTTACTTTGTGTATTATAAAACAATGATTTCTTTGTTATTGAAGTTTTTTACAGTACTAGGGATTGGACCCAGTTTTATCACTGAACTGCATCCCCAGTCCTTTTTTTTTTTTTTTTTTCAGTTGTAGATGGCACAATACCTTTTTTGTTTATTTCTTTACATGGTGCTGGGGATCGAACCCAGTGCCTCACGCATGCCAGCAAGCACTCTACCACAAGCCACAACCCCGGCCCCTCCCCAGTCCTTTTTATTTTTTATTTTGAGACAGGGTCTTGCTGAGTTGTTGAGGCTGGCCTTGAATTTGTGATTCTTCTGCCTCAGACTCCTAAGAAGCTGAGATTACAGGGTACACACCACCATGCCTAGTGCGTTTTTTTAGTTCAAGTAGTAGAAAATATTTCTTTCCTGTGCACTTTAAATGAATTAATTCTTCCTTTTTTCCTTCTCCTTCCTCTCCCCCACATTAAAAATGAAAATGATTGTAGTATCCAAAATTGTTTTGCTTGTAGACCTTGGTTGTTGATGATTTTTCATCCCATTATATTTAGTTTTTCTAGCCAGCAGAGGTTCTTA